TTGTCATTGAAATGCATAAAACACATTATACTCTCATATCTATGCCTGGCCATGGCAGCAGAGAACACGGCATATGATGAATCGGGTCTGCGGACCAATACAACCGCTATTCATTTCTTTTAGTAATGCCCTTGCTGAGGGTTAGGCCCAAAAAAAATGTAAATTCGGAAACTGTAATGAGTTTCCATGCGTCTGGTTTGGCAAGGTTTGAATTTGGGTTGGCGGCGATAAATTGTTGTGCATATAAATTGCTTTGATCCAAAATCAACGCATACAGATATTCCGTGAAAATCAGCTCCAAAAATCAAGGAGGTATGTGAAAGAGCAGGATGTACTAGACCGCTGGTACTCGCCAGTTCACCAAAAGGTAGTGCGGCACTAGTACTGGTACTCTGCTGCATATGAGAGTCATCAAAATTTACCGGCAAGTGCTAACAGAGATCAGGCCTGACTGCGAACACTGGTTTTGTGTGCAATGTATCAAGTGACAGTGACCTACTGACACTGCACTTGCTGGGGGAAAAGGGGGGGTAAGCGTAGGGGATGGCAGGTGCCAGGGCTGATCCTGCTAACGCTGCATTTTTGGGGACGCTATACTAATGTGAACGCTGGTATAGTGCTGATCTAATCAAAGATATTGATCCGTTCAGACACTATACTAGCAATGGAGGTTTATTGTGCATGAAGGTGTTCCTGACAGTCAATGAGTTAAATGTGATGACTGGTGTACTGATGGGCAATCTGACGCTATCTGAGAAGGGCGTTAAAACCACGGGAGCACAAATCATGTATATATATATATGTGATTTTGGGCACCCATGCTGCCCTGTAGTAGTATTTCTGCTATAGGGTGGTCAGAAAGCGGTTACAGAAGTGGTTTGTGTTACGTCGATGCGTTACTTTAACTGACAAATGCGCGATCATGCAACACTGCACCCAAATTAAATTTACATCCTTTTTTTTTTCCAACAAATTGAGCTTTCTTTCGGTGGTATTTGATTGCCTCTGCGTGTTTTATTTTTTGCGCTATAAAAAAAGGCTGACAATTTTGAGAAAAAAAAACAATATTTTGGACTTTTTGCTATAAAACATGTCCAGTAAAAAAATGTAAAAATCTCATTTTGTGATAAATTTCGGCCAAAATGAATTTTGTGACATGTCTTTGCTAAAAAAATTCCCAATACGTGTAAATTAATTGGTTTACGTGAAAGTTATACAAATTTCTACAAATGGCGGGAAAGATACTGGGATTTTTTTTTATATACTAATAATGGCGGCGATCAGCGACTTATGGCGGTGATCAGCAATTTATGACAGTGATCAGCAACTTATGGCGGGCCTGCGGCGGACATTTTGACACTGGGGGGAACTTACTTGGGGTCACTGACATCCCCAGTGACACCAATACAGTGATCAGTTAAAAAAAAAACACTGACACTGTACTAATGGCACTGGGGAGGAAGGAATTAAGTTTTTTAAGGCAATGAAAGGATTAACTGTGTGAGGGGAGTGTTTTACTAGGGGGCGGGGTGTGCTTCACAGGAACATGCATGCTGAGAGATACACTCTGCTCTCAGGATCAGTGTGTTAGGAGCTGACAGGGAGCAGAGCTGCATTGTAAACAATGCGGCTGTGCTCTGTGTCACTGTTTGCCGGCAATCGCCGGGATCCGGTGTGTAATGACCCGGTGATTGACACCCGCTGCCGCGATCGGCGGGACGGGTAGGGCGGGCGCGCGCCTCGCACACGCTCCCTACCTGTTTTGCAGAATGACGTTTTAAAACGTGATTTTGCCCAGCGGTGCCACCTTGTGGCCGTTTTTCTACAGTGGCTGGACGGCAAGCAGTTAAAGACTGCCTTTAATCAGCAGCATGTAATGCAGGCACTCAGATATACCTGAAAATATCCTTTCATATCTTCTAAAGCACCCTAGACGCCCCTAAACCCAGTACCCTCTATACTGTAGTTTTGACTGTCTTCTTATATAAGCTGGTCCAGAAATGCTACTCTGGTTCTGGCAGCCTATTCTTGGGTGGTTCCATCTCCTTGCAGAAACCTGTCGAACCGCTCTCGTTCAGAATGTTTTCTGTGCTGACTTGCACAGACAGCCAGAGAAGGTGCACAGTGGTCTTTGGAATTGTTGGACCTGTACTCCCGAGGAGAGGGATTGGGGGAGCTTTTAGTGTATGCTCCCCAAGCAGTTCTAAGATAGCTGATGGTTGTTGGTTGCAAATAGACAAAGCAGCAAGAGTTCAGGACTTTTTCTAAAAAAAATATTTAATGTTCTCTGCTCAACTGGCCTATACAGATTTAATTATAGAAAAGGTGAGGAAATGCTTTAATTAAAGCCACGTGCACTGTACAGTACGAAATCCAAAGACAACCAAGCAGCTAGAATTCTTCTAAAGAGGCCAGCAATGGCAGCTCTTTCATACAGCTATACATCTCTATGACCAGAAGAGGGCACTGCTGTAGTGGAAAAAGCTGCAGTCAATCTCAAAACTCATTCCCATTGACATTTATAGTTGGCACTTGCTTATCACAGAACAGAAACTTACTGTAATGTGCACACCAAGGACTCTTAAAGCCCATTTCGGGAAGAACAAAAAAAAAAATACACTTACAAGAGGAGTTATCCTCATTTACCTGACCCCTGGCTCTGGCAGGCTATGGTACTCTCCTCTTCTCAGAACTCCAGTCTCTGGGTGATCCATGGTTGTAATCATGTACAATGCAGGGCTATTACCCTGTATTGTATGTGGTGGGGAGGCAACCGGAGCCGAGAGCAGCTTAGAGGGGAGGCTGTGAGGAACTGGTTGCACCACTGCAGGGCCCCTAAGGAAAAAGATAAGTAATACAGCAGCTTCTGCAACTTAATGAGCATTTAACCTTGCAGGGGGAGGGGGCGCATAAAAGAGTCCCTGCAAGGGTATTTTTTGTTGTGCCTGGAGTTGGACTTTAAACCCTGTAAACAGTTAACAAGAGTAGACTCTGGAAGATACATGTCCATGTACACATAGGCTTTTAGCAGAGTTTAGGAGCTGCCACGTTTAGGTGAGGTTAAACCTCCCTCTCCTGAATGTGGAAGAATCTTGTTCAGGATAGGAAAGTTTTGACCACCGACTGCAGGAAAACACAAAATGCTGCAACCGCAGTACCATGATTTGCTCGCGATATTGCAATTTGCTTGTGTACATAAAGCCTTAGAGGGCCAATAAGGAGGTTACAGCAGTCTATTGACGTGCTTTAGTTGTAATACTAAAAGCATAGGGAGTGCTGCTGATAAACTGGGAAGGGAGACTTCAGGGAAGCCTACCCAGCCCTCAGCTAATTACTGAACTCCTCCACTCCTCCTACCACTCCATCCCCCACAGCTATCTCCTCCTGTACCACTATCCCCTCCCTTCTAGATTGTAAGCTCCAAGGAGCAGGGCCCTCGAACCCCTCGTGTATTGAATTGTATTGTTACTATTGTTACTGTACTGTCTTGTGTACTGTCTCCCATTATAATGTACAGCGCTGAGAAAACTACTGGCGCTATATAAATCCTGTATAATAATAATACTAAATAACTGCATAGGGCGAGATTGGTGTTGGCATTGCAGCACTGGCAGGTCTGTTAGAGCAGATGTAAGCCCTTACTGAATGTTAGAAGCAAATGACTGTGTATCTTAGAGAAATGGGTGGTGGGTGGAAAAAATGATTTTTATCTATTGCATTCCTTTTAAAATTCAAGGCCCCTTTCGCATCATATTTGTGGTAACTCACAGTGGCCCCCAAGCCCCCCCCCCCCCCCCCCCCTAACTTTCTGTTGAGGAGAATGCACAACTAACATGATTTTCAGTCACTGTTGTGGATTCATCAAGACTACATGTCCTATCATGCCTTGCACTGGCTCTGGAGCCTCTGTCAATCATTTTCCTTAGTGGGAGGAGAATAGGGAGTTTTTGGGGTTTGTTGTCCTCTCAGGCTGCCTGTAAGTATTGGTGCAAGCAACGTATCGTCGCCCTGCAGTTCATTGTTGGGAGTGTGCACGGAAAGGTGGCTCGGAGGGAGTTCATAGGTAAGACCCTGCAAGAAAAAGTAACCAGGGCCACTGCTTAACAGGACCATCTAATTGAAGAGGAAGGCAGAACTTCTGAACATCTTAAAACAGCATAGATTGTAAGTATTGCCATCAGAATTAGAAATAGCAAAGAGAAGGTTTGACTTTAAAGTACAACTTTAGTTTTGGATAGAGTGGAGAGGGATTAGAACATGTGTCAGTTTTTATTGCTGTCTATGCCTTCGAAGATTCACCCTCTCTACTTGTCTTGTTTACCATTATCATTGAAAGTGAAAGTAAGGAATATCCCACATTTTGGGTTGTTCCCAGAAAAGTAATAGAGGGGAAGTCTTCCAATGGTTACACTAGTTCTGGTGACCTGGGGGTCCCCAAGGGAATCCTGTGATTTGTAAGGATTTCTTCTCACTTCCTATTTGGTTATGGGGCAGGAAGTTAAGAGAAATCTCTGAAATGGGACACAGATGGCGAAGAAAATTTGACAGGGTTTATAAACCTCCCTTACTCTATCCAAAAATGAAAAAAAAAGTTTTGCCTATAGTTCTACTTTAATATCATGTTAACCAAAGGATTTACCTCCCCCTTCGTGACCAGGCCATTTTTTGCAATACGGTGCTGCGTTACATAAGTGACAATTGAGCTTTCTTTCGGTGGTATTTGATCGCCTCTGCGCTTTTTATTTTTTGCACTATAAAAAAAGACCGCCATTTTTTTTTTTACTTTTTGCTATTAAACAAGTCCAGTAAAAAAATTTTAAAAATAAAATTTCGCCATAAATTTAGTCCAAAATATATTCTGCTACATGTCTTTGCTAAACAAAAATCCCAATACATGTAAATGAATTGGTTTATGTGAAAGTTATAGCGTCTGGAAATGGCGGTAAATATACTGGAATTTTTTTTTTTTTTTTATACTAGTAATGGTGGCGATCATTGATTTATAGCGAGACTGCGGCAGGCCGTCTGACACTGGGGGGGAACTGACTAACTGTCACTGATCCCCAGTGACACCAATACAGTGATCAGTGCTAATAAAAAGCACTGACACTGTACTAATGACACTGGGCAGGAAGGGGTTAACATCTGGGGCAATCAAAGGGTTAACTGTGTGCTATTTTACTGTGTGCTGTGTGTGTGCTTTACATTGTAAGCACACTCCTTTGTATGCTTCCATACAAATCAGTGTGCAGCAGCTGACAGAGGAGAGATCTGTATTGTTTGCAGGTCTCTCCCCCATCCGTGATACACAGTGATTGCCGGGAATCAACCGGCCGGGACCCGGTGGTGGACAGGCTGCCAATGGCGGCACAGGTAGGGCTCGCAGGCACCCCTACCCGGAAATGCAAAATCACACATATATTTGTGATTTTGCACACTCTTTCTGCCCTGTAGCAGTATTTCTGCTATAGGGCGGCGGGAAAGTGGTTAACACACAGACCACTGGAGTCAGTAATTCAAATATACATAATTCATAATTCTGCATACATTTTTATAGCGCGCCAGAAGAGTAACATTATACAAACGTGAAAAAATAAGTACACCCAATAAACATTTACTTTTTTACTTTTACTTTTTTAATTAACAGAATATATAGAAACTTAGAAGAGTGACAGCAGAAAGAAGACCAAGTGGTCCATGAGTTCTCCCCCCTCCCCTTTTTTTTAATTTATATATGACTCACGTCTTCTGATGAAAGTCTATTTCAAGCATCAACTACTCTTTCGGTAAAATAATACTTTCTAAGATTAGTTTTGAACTTTCCTGCTGCTAGTTTGATAGCTGTATATATAGATATAGACATATAAATAGATGTACTGGTGTACTGTGTAAAAACTAACTACACTCTAGGATTTAAAAGCTGGTATTGCCACTTACAGCACAAATAACTTGCAGACATTTTGACAAATTCCTTTATTTGAAAGATGGTCTATACATGAACTGTCCATTTTAAATCACCCACAGCATTTCAAACTATGATTTTAACTATGCCAGCATGTAACCCTGCCATTGCTTGTTTCTAAGCCATTCATTGCAGGATTTGCTAGTGTACTTTGCATCATTATTGTATTGAAAGAAAAACCTTTAAAGTTTTCATCTTCAACGTATGGACAGATGTCCTCATATGTAGGATATGATTTTGATATGATACAGAATTCATAGCTGACTCAACAGTAAGCTGCCCAGGCCCTGAAACAGCAAAACAGTCTCAAACTATAATACTCCACCACCATGCTTTACAGTTGTTTTTTTCCCCCCTGAAATACTGTCTTTAGGTTGTGCCAAATATGTATACTGCTACTGGGGCTAAACAAATCTTAGGTTCATCAGTCCACACCAGATTGTTCAGTAAAAACGTTTTCTTGGCACACCTCCCATGCAGGTTAAATTGGTGAAATCAATTCCTGCATTTTCTAGTTGCATGCAATTTAACACCAACTGTTGTAAGAGTCATTTACAAATCCTGGAGCTCTTGGAGACTTATTTTAGATTTAGACAGCCAATCTTGTAGATTATTTTCCTTACAGTGGAATTATTGATTTCAAATAATTTGGCAGTTTTTTAACTCCTTTCCAGGCTCATAGGCAACCAAAACCTATTATTGATGGCTTGATGCTTATTTACATGAGCAGCACTCTCTAAAAAGTGATCATTTGAATTCGTTCTAAAAGGTATTAGCACATTTCCTGGTATGTAAGTGTACCTAGGCATTCCTGTGCCTACAGACTCATAGCTGTATATCTGTGAGATTTAAGGCACCACTGTCTCCTGAGATTTGGTGAAGTCACTACCTGGCTGCTCCCTATTGTTCTTGCTGAAGATTCTAACATGAGGAAACAAAGCAAAACAAGGCTTAGTAAGTCAGTAATAGAAAAGATCAGCTGCAGGGAGACCTAAGGCAACACTGGTGACTAGTCCTCTTTAAAGCCTCACACACACTGTGCATTTGTTCAGCTGCTCCTAGGTGTGTCTGACATTTTTTTCCCACCCCTGCACGTTAGCTTATGTGTCCCTGCACACAGTCACTTTTAGAGGCAGGGGTGTGTAGAGGTAGGTAGAAAAAAAAACACTGCCAGTGCGTCCAGGAGCAGCGGTGTTTTGGCAGTAAAAATTGCTTAATTCCTGTAAAAGCATCAAAATGTGAGTTAATGCTAAGTGCATTTAGCGCTTGAGCATTAATTAATTTCAATGGCCAAAATAAATTATTCTGGCCAGTGAAATTAATTAATGCCCAAACGCTTGACATGGCTAGACGTGCCTAAGTGCATTACACACTTTTACAAGCATCAAGCATTTTTTCTGCCATAATATCAATGCCAAGAGGAAAATCATCTAGGAGAGATAGAAAAACGTCCTGTGTGCATGAGGACTAAATAGGCCAGGTTCCACCTGCATAATCCTTGAGGTTCTTATCATTGGCATCTTATCTGGAACACCTGTATCTAATTTCATGAATTTTAAGTGGTGGTAAATGTACTTATTTTTTCCATGTTACAAATCCACATTTGTGTTATTTTAGATCAGTGTTTCTGAATCTTTTTTCAGTCAAGGCACCCTTTAAAATTCTGCACAATCTTGAGACACCCTTAACAATTCTGTACAATCTTGAGGCACCCTTCAAAATCTCAGGGCACCCATAAAAAAGTGTATGCAGACTGCTTTTACAAACACTTATGAAAGAATGAGTTGCTCTCCGGAGTGAATTCAAGCCTGGTACCATGATAGGTTGCCACCTGTGCAATAAGTCCATCCGTGAAATGTCCTTGCTACTAAATATTCCACGATCAACTGTTAGTGGTAATATAACAAAGTGGAAGCAACTGGGAACAACAGCAACTCAGCCACAAAGTGGTAGGCCACATAGAATGACAGAGCGGGGTCAGTACATACTGAAGCGCACAGTGTGAATAAGTTGCCAACTGTCTTCAGAGTCAATAGCTAAAGACCTCCAAACTTCATGTGGCCTTCAGATTAGCACAGCAACAGTGTCTAGAGAGCTTCATGGAATGGTTTCCATGGACAATCAGCTGCATCCAAGCCTTACATCACCTAGTGCAATGCAAAGCATCAGTTGCAGTGGCGTAAAGCACGCTGCCACTGGACTCTAGAGAAGTGGAGACCATGACGAATCATGCTTCTCTGTCTGGCAATCCGATGGAGGTGTCTGGGTTTGGCAGTTGTCAGAAGAATGGTATTATCCTGACTGCACTGCAAGTGTAAAGTTTAGTGGAGGGGGGATTATGGTGTGGGGCTGTTTTTCAGGGGTTGGACTTTACCCCTTAGTTCCAGTGAAGGGAACTCTTAAGGCATCAGTGCATATGAAGACAGATTGGACAATTTCATGCTCCCAACTTTGTAGGAACAGTTTGGGGATGGCCCCTTCCTGTTCCAACATGACTGTGCACCAGTGCACAAAGCAAGGTCCATAAAGACATGGATGAGCGAATTTGGGGTGGAGGAACTTGACTGGCCTGCACAGAGTCCTGACCTCAACCAGCTAGAACACCTTTGGAATGAATTAGAGCGGAGACTGTGAGCCAGACCTTCTCATCCGACATCAGTGCCTGACCTCACAAATGCACTTCTGGAAGAATGGTCAAACCTTCCCATAGACACACTCCTAAACCTTGTGGACAGCCTTCCCAAAAGAGTTGAAGCTGTTATATACAATTTGCATGTTCTGAAATCCTAAAAAAATACATTCTCTCTAGGTAGCTGATATACCTGTTTAGGGAAAAATGATTAATTTTAGAGAAAGACAAGACAGTAACCCAAATTCAGGATTTAGAGAAGACATAAAACAGTAACCCAAGTTCTGAATTTGTTCATGCTAGACAAACATTTGATCCTGAAAACAACTGTGCTACTTACAGAGTTTTTCATGACAGGAATAGAGAGGTCCCTGTGTAATTCGAATTTAAACAGTAAAGCAGGAAATTCATACCATGCATTCATACACATTCATGTAAAATGCTGCCCATCTCCCAGTTCTGTCAGCCTTTTGTTTCTAAATTATGAATTCCAAGCAGTATTGGTTAGCTAATTGGTCTGACATGATTTCAATTAGTGCACGGAATGTATAATTTAATTGAAATAAAGGACATACAGTTTGATTTGAAGGGATAGTTCAGCATCAAAATATAGGAAGAGTCTGTGAGATTAAAATTCTATTTATTTACACTGTACACTTCAATTATATTGAGAACAGTAAGAACAGTGTACTACAGCAACTATTAGATTTCAGGTTACAGAATTCAATCCAGGCAAAATTATTTTCTGATCAGTTGTCTGTTGACCTATAAGGGATTGTTTTCTTTTTTACATTAAAAGAGGGGTATTGAGTTAAAATTCAAGAAGGTCCAATCACTAATCTTCTGGCCGAGGTCCGAAAAAAAATGTCCCCATTACTGTTCCCCCTTACATCAGGTTCCCCCTCCAGAGTAATTTATTACATTGAGTGCCACCATCAGACTTCCCCCATAAATCAGTTGCCATCGTCAGAATACCCCGCTATATAAGGCATTCCCATCAGAGCGCCCCCTTAAGTAATGTGTTCCCATCAGAGTGCCCCATACATCAGGCATTCCCATCAGAGTGCCCCCTTACATCAGGCATTCCCATCAGAGTGCCCCCTTACATCAGGTTTCTGCATTAGAAGGCCACCTTACATTTGGTGTCTCCCATCAGTGTGCCCCCTTACACCAGTTGTCCCCATTAGAGTGCCCCATTATATAAGGCTCCCCCATCCCGGTGATACCTTACATAGGGTGTGCCCATCAGCGTGCCCCCTTACATTAGGTGTCGCCATCAGAGTGTAACTGTACATCATGTATCCCCATCACATCAGGTGTGCCCATCAGAGTGCTCCTTTACATCAGTTGTCCCCATCAGAGTGCCACCTTACATCAGGTATTGCTGTCAGAGTACCCCCGTACACTCTGATTACCCCTTTTACATCATATTTCCCCATCAGAGTGCCCCTTTACATCATATTCCCCTTCAGAGTGCCCCTTTTTACATCACATGTGCCCATGAGAGTGCCCCTTTTCACAGTATGTGCCCCCTTAACATAACATGTGCCCATCAGAGAGCCCCCTTAACATAAAAAATGCCCAACAGAGTGCCCCTTAACATAAAGTGTGCCCATCAGAGTGCCCCTTAACATAAAATAAGGGGCACTCTGATGGGCACATTTTATGCTGGGGCACTCTGATGGGCTTATTTATATTAAGCGGCACTCTGATGGACACATTTTATGCTAAGGGGCAATCTGATGGGTACGTTCTATGTTGTGCCCATCAGAGTGCCCCTTAACATTAAATGTGCCCATCAGCATTACTCTTTAACATTAAATGCGCCCATTATGGGGGCGCATGCGCGGCCGGCTCCCGTATGGACGTGTAGTGTGAACCGCTCCGTCCAGCCGCCAGAACGATCGCGGCTCACACAGACCCCAGGGATTTCTGACACCACAGCGACCTGTACTAGAGGTGTCCGAACCTCCCCAGACATGCCCCGCAGGAGGAAAACCCCGGGGCAGCCGGGGAAACTGACACATTTCTTCCCTGCCATCACGGCAGGAATCCAAGATGGCGCCGGCGGCAGTGACATGAAAGACAGCAGGCAGCAAGGGGACTACTCTGCCCAGCAACAAGACCACAGGCTGCGATATCCACTATATCCAGGGGACCCTGGTGAGTTGTCTCCCCCCCTCTGTCCCCCACCACAAGAAGCCCAGCCAAGTCCAGAATCAGACTGGACCCTGAGCATCAGCAGACATGCCAGGCCCTCAGTGATTCACCCCCACAGCTACACACAGACCTCCCTGTCATAGAGGCATTCCCAGCAACAGATCAACCAGTAACTGAGATATGCATGAAGAACATGCTATTATCTCTTAAACAAACCCTGCATAATGATTTATCATCATCTCTGGCACACATCACTAACGTGGTCAAACACCAAGAACAAAGAATACAACATATTGAAACCAAAATGGGCGACATCATTATAGCGCACAATGATTTGATTGACGCACACACAGATCATACATCGGACATCGAACAAATTAATTTGAAACTAGCCGACCTGGAAGATCGTTCGAGGTTTAACAATATCAAGTTTAGGGGTATACCTGAAAGCGTCACTAATGAAGCATTGCTAACCTATATACAACAGTATATAAAAGTCCTCATCCCATCCATCTCAGATCTGGAGCTGGCCATAGACCGAGCCCACCGCCTACCTAAACCAACATTCCTATCGGCCTCCATTCCTAGAGATGTTTTAGCCCGGATTCATTTCTACCACATAAAAGATAAAATTATGCTGGCAGCAAGAAATACAACTACACTCCCACCGTCACATGCAAATATCCGGTTATTCGCAGACCTCTCAAAGACCACGCTGCTTAACCGCAAAAAGATGATTACCATTACTAAAGCCTTGAGGAACCATGGTATAGCATATCAATGGGGATTCCCCACGAAACTAAAACAACACGGTAAAACCTTCACCATTAAAAATCTCGAAGCAGGCCTAGACCTGCTTAAAGCCTGGAAAATAATACCTGAAGACACACCACAAAATGCACCTACTCATTCTCAGAGTATGGAAGCTGATTAAGCGTGTCACTACTCGCACCCGCTATAACATCAACATAGCACCTCAAAGATGTCATTTCCCCTCAATAATCTCTGGCGATCGGCCGAGTTTTTGGAAGTTATATGTTACCAGGAACTATTTGGCTTGATCTTTTTTATTGCCAAAGCCTGTTTGAACCCCCCACATCTGAAGTAGCAATCCAAGCTACTCAGACCACTTGCATTTTCCGCAAGTATTTTTTTTACCCTCCTCCTTTTTTCCTCTCACCTCCCTCCTTGGCACCATCACCAGTCGCTCAAATCCGCCTTATCACCTACAGATTAATGGCCACTGGTGTGAATATCTCTGACCAAACAATCAGAAACAGACTTTTAGGGTGGCCTGAGGGCCTGCTGTCCTCTAGTGGGCCCTGTGCTCACTGCCTAGCACCATAGAGCTCCATTGGCATTTGCCATTGAACACCAGATTTGGCAGGCCGCTCCATGCTTTTCACAGATGAGAGCAGGTTCATCCTGAGCACATGTGACAGACGTGAAAGGGTCTGGAGAAGCCGTGGAGAATGTTATGCTGCCTGTAACATCGTTCAGCATGACTATTTTGGTGGTGGGTCAGTGACGGTCTGGGGAGGCATATCCATGGAGGGAGGCACAGACTTCAACAGGCTATACAATGGCATCCTGACTGCCATTGGGTATCGAGATGAAATCCTTGGACCCATTGTCAGACCCTACGCTGGTGCAGTGTGTCTTGGGTTCCTCCTGGTGCACAACAATGCCCGGCCTTATGTGGCAAGAGTATGCAGGCAGTTCCTGGCGAATTAAGGAATTGATACCATTGAATTGCCACCCGCACGCTCGCCTGACCTAAATCAAATAGAACACCTCCGACGCTGCCAGGTTGCACTTCAGATTGTTCAGGAGCTCAGTGATGCTCTGGTCCAGATCTGGGAGGAAATACCCCAGGACATCATCTGTCTCATTAGGAGCATGCCCCAACATTGTCAGGCATGCATACAAGCACGTAGGGGCCATACAAACTACTGAGTATCATTCTGAGTTACTGCAATGAAATTTCAGCAAAATGGACTAGCCTGCTGCATCATTTTTTCACTTTGATTTTTGGGGTGTCTTTGAATTCAGTCCTCTGCAAGTTGATCATTTTCCTTTCCATCAAACAATGGGGCATCCTTACATTCCTAACACATTACCCAGTCCATATCAGTATAGATATCCAGCATGATATTTTTACCCATTAAGATCTGATGTGTTTTCAGTTGCTTCCTGGTTTCTGGCCTAGGTTGAAATTATGTGATACATCTCAGGAGTTTCCCAGTCTGAACTCTGCCATAAGGGACTGAACAAAGCTGTTATCAAAGTAAATGCAGGAACTTACACTGATTTCATTTTCAAAAAAACATTAATTATTAATGAATGCAAAGCAGAATTAAAGAGGAGCTACAGTCTCCCCCAACAAAATCTAGAAGTCAGCAGCTACAAAAACTGTAGCTGCTGACTTATAATATAAGGACACTTACCTGTCCAGGAGAGCTTTCCAGCCTCTCCTGTCCAACCACCCCAGACCCCAGATGAAATCTCCTTTTTACCCAGGTGCCCAAAGGAATCCCTGAGCAAGGGGACCCAGAATCTGCCACCTTAGAATCAGCAGTCCCAGATGGGGGTTAGTCAGGTTTCCCACCCGAATGCCTTTCCCCTTATCTGGCCCAGGGTGTGTAGGATTACTCACTCAGTCCTGTCCTGCAAGCATGTGGACTAGTGGCTGCCTTCAAGCCATACGCTGGGCTGGTTCCTTCCCTGATTCCCAGGTCGTCTTCTCTCAGGGGATTATGAGGCTCAGAGATCCTCCCAGCTCCTCTTCTTGTAGGTAGGCCCCTCTCCTGGACCCCCTCCCAAACTCCAACTCCATCCTGCTCACTCCATCTTCCACCCAAACTCTTCCTATGGACTGCCCTGGCCCCATGCCAAGCCTCCTGCTTGGGGATTGGCCAAGGTTCTCCAAATGTGCAGGCCAGCCCCTCCTCACCCTCACCCACTGCTTCTAGAATATTCTCCAAGATTCTAGAGCAGGGGAGGTGTCAAGGAACTGATCTGCACAGCCTTTTAGCCCTGACCTGAAATAACGCCAGGCTGCTATTCAGCCTTTCTAGCTGAAAACGTAATCTAACTCCCCCCTAGCTATCTAGGAAGGTGCTACAATTGTTTTAGTAAGTAAGAGGTAAAACCCTGCCAGTTTTTTTGTTTGTTTTTTTTTGCATTGGTATTGAATTGGTGAAATTTCCATTCATCTTCTGTCCTAGAGATACTACAGAAAGCGAAAGGAAATCTCTTTAAAGGGAAATCCTCATGTCAGGCTGTTGTCACCAGAACAGGTATCCCTATTGGAAGATTTTGTTTTTCACACAAGCGTTTACCTGCATAGTCGTATGCATCCAGGCTCAGACCCCTGTCCCTAACCCCACAATATTAATGGCCCAAATTCTGTGTACTTGATTATCATACATAACAGCAAAAGGTTTTATTTATGTGACTTAACATTCAGTCTTTAACACTACATTTCATTTTGTAAACTGTACTAATACGCTTCCACTTATTAATCCATGACATACTGTATACAGTAAGCATTCATGTTACAAGAACCTAGTTGTGCTCATTATTTGCAGGTGCAGTACATCAAGACAATGCATCATATTTATGTATCAGGATATTTAAGACTTCTATTTACATTGCTTTTCAGAGTCAAGCATTAGATAATATTAGCAAACAGGTTCCCACTGATAACCTGGCTTTGCACCGTCATTAGAACAATCGACCAATTTAACAAGCATCCTGGTATTGACAGAAATGTTATAATGCTTACCATCTCTTTTAGCTCATTTAAACACTGTAGTCTGAACAGAAAAAAAATATATTACCTAAAGGCTGGTTTATACCGGAAATCGCATAGGAATGCACTGAACGATCCTGTACATTTCAAATGCAGTTTAGTGAGGTGCGATTTGAGTCCATTCATTTTGAACGCAGTGCAGGAAGCTTGCATGGAACGAGGTTTCAACCAACCCCTATTCAAAAATAAGAAAAGCGCCCAATTAAACCAAACTCAAGCTGCAAACCTAACCCAAAAATGGTATGTGAAAAAAGAATAAATATAGGAATGCGCTAGATTAAAAAACAAATATTCAAAATAATATATAAGTGAAAAATGTATATAAATAAAAGAATATTCAAATTACATAATCAACCATAGTGTCCATATTTTCTGTGTAAAGTCCAAACATCATGCAATAGAAATAAATGTATACTGAAATACTGTTCAAACAA